AATATGAAAAATAACCAAAATATAAAAAATACACAAAATATAAAAAATACACAAAATATACAAAATATTGAAAAATTAGTAAATAATGATATAAATTTACTAAAATTAGATATGGATATTGGTGACAATTTTATTACTGTACCTATGAATATATATAAATTTATAATAAAAAATAAATTTTTTTATATATATTTCAGAGATTATTATAATACGAATATTTTTGTAAATAAAAACCTTTATAATATTAATCAAAATAAGAAATATATGTGGTTAAGTATAACAGAAGCCTTAACAGAAGCTAAGCAATATTGTCGCCTACCCTACGGTACGGGTTCTGCAGGAGTTATGTACGGTTTGCCCATATAGAAAGGGGAAAAAATATATTCATATATTTATTTTGTTATATTTATATTTATTATGTATTTTTTATAAACCTTTTATAATATTCGCAACATTATAGACATATATAGCAAAAAAGAAATATTAAAATTATAGTTTTTTTTTTTTTTTTTTTTTATAACTTTCTTATATATGTTGTATATATCTCAAAAGGTCTTTAAAAAAAAATTCATTTTTATTATTTATCATTTTATTATTTATTTATTTATTCATTTATTTTTTTTTTAAGGATCGTCGTTTAAAACCATAAAATATACTATTATATTAATTTTTTAAATATATAAATGATCTTAATAAATACTATTATTTATTACATATATAATATGGTTGAATAGTTTATACTTATAGGGAACAAAAAAAAAAAAAAAAAAAAAAAAAAAAAATTGGCATATTTAAATATTAGGTTCTTTTAAATTTGATGTTCTCATGAAAAAATGGCAAAATTATATATATATATATATATATATATATACATATATATAATATATATATAAATGCCTTTTTTTTATATGTATCAAAATCTCTTATATTAATAGGATCTTCAAAAATTCTTTTTGTTTAAACAAATTAAATTAAAATATTACTTTAAATATCATTCATATAAAATTTAAAAAAGGGAATATCTTTGTAAAATAAATATATTTACATTTATAATTTATATTTTATTATAATGTATTATTAATTTATTACAAAAAAAAGAATTCATTTTATAAATCTTATGTTTATATATCGAAATGAATTAACAAGTTAAAGCTCATATAAGTATATAGTGAAGACAATAGGCCAAAAAAAAAAAAAAAAAAAAAAAAAAAAAAAATATATATATATTATATATATATATATTATATATATATATTATATTTATATATATAAAATAATATATAAATGCTTATGTATTTTTTCAATATTATATATATAATATTTATTTAAAATTTATTCACAAATTAAAAAAAAAACTATATGTTTATAAATATATTTATATATTATAATATAATATATTTATTTAAAAAAAAATAATTTTTTTTTTTAATTTCATTACATAATTTATCATTATTATTATTATTATATATATATATATATATAATATGCATAATATAATTTAGATTAGATAAAAATGAAAAATAAGGTTAAACGTGATATAATGAAATGTAAAAAAAAGCTGGAAAGTTCTATAAAAGCATTAGAAGATAAAATTTTAAGACTTGAATCAGAATATCATAAGAATTGTAATGTAAATGGAGGGAATTTGATAAAAGGATGGGAAAGTCATTTAAGAAAAACACCATTAGAACCTTTGAGTTTCAGGACATTTAGAGATGACTATGGAGATTCATATGTAGAAAGAATGTTATCATTAACATCATGTACATCTCCTGCCACAGCTTTATTTCCAAGTGAAGATACAATAAGAGAAAAACGTAAAATGTAAAATTTGGAGAAACAAAAGAATTTTGTCATGACAATTACATATATATATATATATATATATATATATATATATGAATATATTTAAAAGTAATATTAAATTAATATATATTTAATTTAATGAAACAATATTATTAGGTTTTAATTACTGTCCATACACTTTAAATTAGAATATAAAAATGAAATGAAAGCTATAACCCTACCTTATAAAAAAAAAAATTTTAATTATCGGATTGCAAATAAATTACCAAAAAATTGGTTACATATATATATATATATATATATATATATATATGTATATACAAATGATCATTTAATTATATATGTTTTGTTTTATTTTATCTCATTTCATTTCATTTTTTTGTTTTTTCAGTTTATCATAATTTTCTAAAATTTTTTTTTTAAACAAATTAACTTTAATTTTTTTTTGTAAAATTCTTTGTCTTTTAATACAATGCTGCGTTCTTCTTCTTTTGGGCTTAATATAATTTTTGGATAGTTCCTTAATTTCTGACCATCCTTCATTAGGTATTATTTTAAAAAATCTACCTTTAAAATAAAAGGAATCTTTTTTTATACTATTCCAAGGTAATTTCCATAAAGATTTATTATTTTGATCCATATCTATTTCTTCAAAATATTGTCCTTTATTAATATAGAGATCTATTTCATTATTTTGTTTTTTCTCTTCATTTGTTTCTGTTTTTACTAAAGTAGTTTGCATTTTAAATGATGAGTTGTTTAATTTGTTAAATTGTTTATATACATATATATCACAATCATCATCAAGAATAAAATTTGTATTTTCATTATTATTAAAATGAATATTCTGTTCATTTTGTTGATTCTCTTGAATATTTAACTTGTTCATGCTATATGCACTTTGTATAGACTCTTTATTATTATTATTATTATTAATATTTAATATATCACCATTCTGCTTATTATTTATTGTAATTTTTTGTTTATTTTCCTTATCCAATTCATCATTTAATATAAAATCATTTTGTAATACATCATGTCCAATTATTATCTCCTCATTTGGTAATGCTTTCATTACATCCTTACTATGTTTGTCATCTTCTATCTTTTTTTGTTGATCTATAAAATGCTCAATGGGTAGACCTGTATATTCTGATGATAAAATGATGTCATAAATTTTCGGTCTTTCGATAATTTGACTGGATTTTTTCTTTTTTTTTTTTGTTGAATTTTCTATCAAATCTATATTATTGACATTATGAATTTTTTTATTAGAATCCTTTTTAGCATTCATTAAATAATTAATTTCCTCTTCACTTTTATTTTCTTCTGTTATTTGAAAAGTATCTGGAATATGGCCTAGTATTTTTAGCTGTACATACATATCTTTTTTAGCTGAGCATTCCCCTAATAATTTTGTATATGATGATAAATGATAAGGATGAGTTAATATATTTGGTAGTTTTCTAATTCCCATATTATTTTCATATCTTACAAAATCAAATAATCTCTTTTTAGAATATTTATCATACATATTAACTATAAAAGCTCTAGAGAATGTACCATATTTTCTAACATAATTAACTAAGAATGGAATACTTATAGTTTCATAACATCTAGAAAAAAGTGCAATAATTTCTGCATTTTTGGAACAATTTAATACTTGACCTAAATAATTAATCATATTTTCATATGATATTTGAGAATATTTATCTCTATACATACCTAATCTACTTATTATTTTTAAACACAATTCTGCACTACAATTTTTTACAATATTATATGCAAACAAATTATTTAATATATTACATGGAATATTATCAATATCTAAAATTTTGATGGTTTCCACATGATCATAATTGATATTATTATTCACTGGATAAGAACTATAATTTTTTTTTTTTTTTTTATTATGATAATTATTATTATTTACGTTAATTATTGGGTTATTTGTATTATTTATAGAATCCATTAAGTTTTTATAATGTTCTTCTTTGTTTTTATTGTATTTATTTATATTTTCTTTACTTGAGTGATTAGAATTTCGAGATAATTCTTCAGCAATTCTTAATTTACATAAAATTGAATTTCTAAACATTGAAAAATGTTCTTCATATTGTTCTAAATATTCTTTCATTTTTTGAGTTTCTTTTTCTTCTTTTTCATATATTTCATTAACAAATAAATTTGAAAAATTTTCCTTACACTTTTGATTATCATGTATTTGTGATACATTCATGTTTGTGTGTACGCAATTATCTAATTTTTTATTTATATTTCTAGATGTTTCAGCAATATCATTTATTTGGTTTTTATTTTTGTTTTCATCATGAACATCTAACTTTTTATTATTCTTATAAATACTATTTGCTGATACGTGCCAAAGTTCTCCTATTAAACTTGAGTTTAAGTTGTTTGTTAATAATAAGGTATCTAAATCGTCATCTACATCTTCATTGTATTCATCACTTGTATATTCATAAGTATTATCAGTGGAAGCATCATTAATTTCATTGTTTTTAAATGCATGTATATCATCACCAAAAAAAAAATTATTACTAAACTTGTCATCGTCATTTTCACTTCCAGAATGAAAATCCTTGTATTTATCATCATTTTTATTTTGTAATACTTTCGTCTTGTTTTCACTTGTTTGCTTATTTAAAAAGTTTGTTTTTTTGCCTATAAAATTATGGTTCAATTCATTTTTATCATCAATATGATTAATATTATTTTTATATTGAAATGATAAATTATTACAATTTTTGTCCAGTGAATATATTTTATCAAATGAATTAAACCTTCTAAATAGAAAAAAATGATTATCTATTCTTTTCCTTTTTTTATTATAAAAAGGACTTATTAAATTCGCTTGTAAACATTCCAAACTTATGAGGGAAATTTTATTTTTAATACGCATTTCAAAAATGGATTCATAATAAATTAGTCATTTTTTTTAAATAAAACAAATGCACATGAGCGAGTAAAATATATGGCCCTAAATGGGTAATTAAATGAAAACAACGAATTTTTACAAAAAGTATATTATATAAATATAATATATATTATATTTATATTTAAATTTTTTTTTTTTTTTTTTTTTTTTTTTTTTTTTTTATACTTTTGAAATGCACTGTCATTCACGTATAAATAAAAAATATATATATATTATTATTTTATTTTATTTTATTTATTTGATATTGTGTGACTGCCATAATGTTTTTATTTTATAATATATATTTTATATTTTATTTATATATAATATATATATGTGATAAAAATAATACACATTAACTTTTCATAAAATTTTTATATGTGAAAATATTACAAATGAATATAATAACAAAATTGTTGTTAAATATTTTATTCATCTAGAAAATATTTAAATAAGATAATTGTTAACACGAAAAAAAAAAAATAAATAATAAATATATAAAATACATACATATATATATATATATATATTTAACAATTTAGAGGCGTAAAATATGTCAGTTTTATATTACACCTTATTTAGTTTTTTTAAGGACCTTAGGAGTTTATACAAACCATATACAGCATTTTCTTTTTTTTTCTTCCCTTGTGCTATAAATATGTATGGAATTATAAAATTTAATAATTCAGATTACCATATAAATAAAAACGTAACAGATGCCAATGCATATATGAAAAGGACTACCCAAGAAAAATAATACAATGAAATAAGATAGAAATTAAACAATATCTTTTAAATGGAAATGAGGGAGGAAGGAAGGAAATAAGAAAATTGTATAATATTTCCTAAAGAAATAAAATATTATACTCTATATATATATATGTATATATTTATATAGTTGAACGGTTTAATAATATAGAACAAATTGAATATATTTTTTTAATAATGTGAAAAAAAGTATAAATGATAAACGTATTATAACGTTTTAATTTAAAAAAAAAATACAAAAAGAAAAAAAATAATATATAGGAATAACTGCAATGTTGTATAAATATATTGTAAATGTTTTATTTTTAAACATCAAAATGTTTTTTTCATTAATTTTTTTTGATATTCCTTTTTTTTTTTATTCCCATTTGATATATATTTTTTTTCGTTTTAGAAAAACTTTTTCAAACATAACTATAAAACAAAATACTTATGTAAATATTTATGTTTAATATGTGAAAGATTATCTTTTTGTATTTGTACATTTTTAATGTGCATTATAGAATAAAAATTAATAGTTACACAAATTTACAAAGTTAAAAAATAGAATATAATGTAATTTGCATAAGCTTAATTTTTTTTTTTTTTTTTTTTGGTAACAATATAGTTTAAGGGGCATATTAAAAAAAAAAATAAATAAATAAAAAGATAGTATAATATATTATACATATGTATTATATAATTTATTTCAATTATATCATTACACATTTGTATATTTGCCTTTAAAAATATAACATTATTATTATTATATTTAATATTCTTATGTTATTCAAAATGCATTGGATAATTAAAATGAAAAGAAAAAAGAGTAGGAAAATAAAATACATACATAGATAATATAATATATATATATATATATATATATATATAGACATGACGATTAAACATACATCACATAAGATTGATTAATATGTGGATAGTTAGCAAAGTAATATAAAATATTACATTTTGCATACATAAAAATGTTATTAAAAACTGTTCCCATTAATAAATGTACATATAATATATATATATATATATATTTGCTTTATTAAAAAATTAGAATACGTAACAATTTTTTCTTTTTATTAATTCATGTTAATGTGTTTTTAATATTTAAATGTTAAGTAAAACATAGGTAAATATATACATATATATATATATAATATTATTTAAATTGTTAATGTAAGTATTTTATGTACATATGTAAAATATATATTAATTAATTATAAATAATTTTTATAAAATGCGCTCAAAAAAGAAATAATTTTTTTATTACATTATTATTTCCTGAAATTAGTATATAAAATAATTCGTTTATTTATTTCATTGGGTTTATTTTTAACTTAAAAATCAAATATATATATATATATATATATATATATATATAATTATTTATTTATTTTATCATTTATGTTTAAATAAAAAAAAAAAAACTAATTCTTTAACATATAAAATTTTTTATATTCTACATATAAATATATATAATATATATATAATTTTTCCTTAATAAGATATATACTATGTAGGCCATACTGCATTTCCACTACATATGTTAATAAAAAAAAAAAATTATAATAAATTATACATACATACATTATACATTATACATTATAACAACATAAAAAAAAAAAAAAAAAAAAAAATATTTTATTTGTGTATTATATATGTGGAAATGAAAATTGTTTTTTTTTTTTTTTTTTTCCCAATTTTTTTTATTATATTATAAGTAGAATTAATTTTATGTATTATTTTCAACGGAAAAAAAAAAAAAAATAAATAATAAACATAATTCAAGAACAGTGAAAAAAAAAAAAAATATATATATATTTTTATTTATTTATCATTTTGTTATATATAAATAATTATATAATTTTTATGATACATTTTATTATGTTTATTAAAATTTGGGTTTTTAATATATAAATATATATATTATATATATTTATTTTCATTAAAAAAAATATTCTTATAAGATCCTCAAATGAAGCTTGTTTTATTTTACATATAAATTTATATATTTTTTGTTCAATTATGAATGGATAGATAATGTTCCCAGTTTTATTTACAAAATTTTATAAAATAAAAATAAATATAATAAATCCACAATCATTCTTTTTTTTTTTTTTTTTTTTGTATTACATGTTTGAGCAGAATATGTTGTTTATTTATACAACTTACAAAAGATAATTTCTTTTTAAATGTTTTATTTTGAAAGATTATATTTATTAATTATTTATAATTTTGTGTATATATCTTAAAAAAAAAAAAAAATTATATATCAAAAGATATAAAATGTTTATAAAAACATAAAATTGTATGTACAATTTGTATATGAAATGTGTAACAAATTTTATAATTTAAAATTTGAAAATTAAAATTATAAAAAATATATATATATATATAATATATGTATATAAGAACATATTATAAACAATCATTGATATTATTGCATTTAAATGGGTTATCCTAAAATAATAAGTGTATATATTATATAAAATAGTATAATATATATGTTTATAAAATTATTAATATCATTTATATACATAAATGAATTGACATATTTTATTTATATCCTATTTGTAATTACAATGTTGATACTTAGATATTAATAAAATATAATAAAGTATAACATAATATAATAGTAATTATAATAAATAATATAAAAAAAAAAAACCAAAAAAAAAAAAAAAAAGGTATCTTCGAAGTAGTATAATGAAAATATGAATAATAATAATAATAATAATTATTATTATTATAAGAAAAATAAAAATACGAATAAGAAGACTAGCTTTCTTGAATCAAAATATGATAAAGTTGTAAACAATGTATTAGGGTTATTTAAAAAAAATAACAAAAACAAATTTCTTTCAACATCTTCAGCCTTATGTAATGATGTACATGAACAAATATTAAGCTCAAGATTATTTCTGGATTTGTGTGAAGAAAAGGAAATATTATTATACCAAATATTAAAAAAATTGAATATTTTGAATTTGATTTATTTTCGTTTTTTAAAAGAAGAAGATATTGAAGATGTTCATGATTTACATAAAGAATTATTTCCTGTAAAATATCATTCGGATTTTTACTTCAGTATATGTAATTTTGATGATAATACAATAATTGATGATGATATTATAAAAACTATGGATAAAATAACTAGTTCCTTCAAAAAAAATACAAACAGAAAAAGATGCAATAGTAATAATAATAAAAACAACAACAACAACAACAATAATAATAATAATAATAATAATAATTGTAGTAATAATTATGGTTGTAATAATAACTACAGTGAAATTGCTTCCGCATTAAAAGAAGGGAGTCATAATACAAACAGCAATAATTTTAAAGACATTAATTTTGTAAATAATTATGAATGTAATAGTTATAATAATGTAAATTCATATGATGAATTGTCAACAGATTGTTGGAACATAAATGATGATGAAATGAATGATATGAACAATTATTATGATCATGATGAATATTTAGAAGAAACACAAAATGATATTTTAAATAAATTTGATAATTCAATAGATAAATGTGGAATTGAAAAGAAAAAAATAAATAAAAAGTGGAAAGAAGATCAAATATTTTCAGTGGGTGTATTTTTACCATTTTCCTTTATAGATTATATTAATAGTGATTATATAAATAAACTGTTGAAGAGAAAATGCATGGAAAAGTTGGGAGAGAAAGATATTTTACTAGACTATATAAGATTTATGGATGATTGTAATGCTAAATATGAAAAAAATAATACAAATGATAAATGTGATAAATGTGATAAATGTGATAAATGTGATAAATGTGATAAATGTGATAAATGTGATAAATGTGATAAATGTGATAAATGTGATAAATGTGATAAATGTGATAAATGTGATAAATATGATAAATATGATAAATGTGATAAATGTGATACTTTTGATAAATTTAATACGTTTGATAAATTTGATACATATGATAATTATGATGATAGTAATTCTTATTGTAATGATACTCATATTAATAATGTGAAGTCACATTCAAATTCAACAAATAATAGTCAAAAAAGTACTTCACATTGTACTTATGAATCATTTAAAACATATTGTAACTTTGAAACAGGGGATAAATACTATAAAGAAAATATTAATTATGATAATTTAAAAAATCCAAAGAGGTTGACAAATGAGGTAGATGCTAAAGAAATGTCAGATTTTATTTTATCATCAAATGAATGTAGTAATACTGTGAATGATAAGGAAACACAAAATGGATTTGATAGTCTAGACGAAGAGGAAGCTTTTAAAAAAGAAGATATACAGGTTAATCGTAATACAAATTTTTATGATTGTAATAATAATTCTTCTCCTACGAATAATATTAGTCATTATAAACATTATGATATTTTTAATTTTAATGACAAAAAAGAGGAAAATACAATCTTTAATAAATGTAATAATAATAATTTGAAAAACGCGACTTATAATATGACTAATCCGAGTAATGTTTATAGAAATATAGGTACATTACCATGTAATATACAAAGAAACATTAACAACAACGATAATAATAATAATAATAATAATAATAATAATAATAATAATAATAATAACAATAATAATAATAACAATAATAATGACTTTATATACAATAGTGTTGGTAATATAAATTATGATAATGAACATATCTATAATATATACAAAGAACTTAAAGAAAAGTGTCAACTATATAACGAAAGGAATAGCTTAGAAGAACATATTAAAAATAATATGAAATACAAAATATATTTAAGTAAAGAAATGTTAAATTTATACAATCCAAATGACAGAAAAATGAAAAGAGATTATTTGATTGGATGTTTATCCTCTTTAATTAATTATAATGATATTAATAATGAAAAGGATTATAATAATATTTGTGATTTTTTTAAACAAAAGTCTAATAATAACAAAAAGGGAAAGAGCTATTTAAGGTATATGTATGATACGTCGAAAAATTTTCTAGAAAATTATATGCCCATGGAAAGATGTTTTAACTCGAAAAATGACGATCACATATATGAAGAAACTTTTAAGGATGATAAGTGCAATTATGATCATGAATATAGTGAAGACAACAATAATAAGGATGATAATAATGATAATAATAATAAAAAAAAAAATAAAAAAAAAAAAATAAATAATAACAATAATAATAATAATAATAATAATAATAATAATAATAATAATAACAATAATAATTGTAACAATTATTTCAATTGTAATTATAATAGTAATGTAAAAAAAGATGTGTTATATAAAAATCATAGAGAACAAGATAAATTCACCAATGAAGAAAATAATACCAATCAATATATAGAAGAATCATACACACATTTAAATAATATAAAAGATAATTTTAATTATTCTGGAGATATTAAATGGAGAAAACAAGATAATTTATTTTGTAATAATATATTAAAAGATTTATCAATATTAAAAAAAAACAA